CTGGTGTTCAGGGTAGAAAACTGCTTTGCTAGTGAACATTAGGTCATATGGCACATTTGAAATCTTGCCACTCTCTTCCTCTTTCTGCCCCAAACTCCGAGGAGGATATAGAAAATAAAAAAGACAAAGGGAGGGAGAGAACCTTTGGTGGCTCAGGTGACCTTCAGATTGGCCAGTCTCAAACTTCCACAGGATCTGGACAAGTTTGCTGCACCCATATATGCTCTTAGAGCCTGAAAGGGTACAACAGTGTACACCAGGGGCAGGCAAACTTTTCCTATAAATGGTCAGAGAGCAAATATTTTTACGTGTCCTAACTCCTCTCTACTCTGCCACTGCGGCATGAAAGCAGCCAATCCATGATCAAAGGAGCATGGCTGTGTTTGATGAACACTTTACACTGAAATGTAAAGTTCAACTTAATTTTCATATCATATTCTTATTCTTCTGATTTTTTTTAACCATTAAAAAAATATAAACATCATTTTGAGCTCCTTGGGCCCCACAAATCAGGCTGTAGGCAACTTGGCCGGTGAAGCAGTGTGTGCTGACCGACCCCTCGTCTACACTCCCGGAGGGTCAGCGGGTCATCATGCCCAGACTTCACGAAGGCCCTCACCAATCTTACTTGAGCAGAAGCCTCGCTCTTCCCTTTCTGCCGCTGTTGCTGGGGCTGCAGGGATATTAAAAGTGACAGAAAAAGTTACAGATTCTTTTAATATCTTTTTTTTCCTTATCTGGAAGGTTTTTTTCAGGTTTATTTCTTAAACATCTAAGAGGGCATTACCATCTGCGTTGATAAAACTAATTAGGTTATGGGCGCCTGGGTGGCTCAGTTGGTTAAGCAACTGCCTTCGGCTCAGGTCATAATCCTGGAGTCCCGGAATCGAGTCCCACATCGGGCTCCCTGCTCGGCGGGGAGTCTGCTTCTCCCTCTGACCCTCTTCCCTCTCGTGCTATCTCTCATTCTCTCTCTCTCAAATAAATAAATAAAATCTTTAAAAAAAAAAATAATTAGGTTATAATCCACTTTCTCATGCTTTTTAAGATTATTATGTTTTAAGGCCTACTGCCATTATTCAATCAATAAAAAAAAACCCAGAGATTTAAGGGGGGTTGTATATTTTCATTTTTTAATAAACCACACGGCAAAACAATACTTTAATAAATGTATAGGAAATTACAATTTGAAAATTGCAAATACAGTACATATACATACTATACTTTGATCTTAAATTACATGGGCAAACCCCAGCTTCAAAATCTTCCTAAAATCAATCATATGCAAAATACCTGGTTTCTGAAAGAGCAAATGGAAATGTATATACAATTTCTTAAAGGGGATATGGCTTACTTAATAACATATTTTTTTTAGAGAAGCAAAAGCTTTCCAAATACACAGTATCTTCCAGGTGCAAAGCTGACATACTACTGGCCATTTCAATTTTGCATTGCAGTTACTTCAGGATATACTTAATTACATTATTTTGACACTGTCATAGATTTAATTGGGAAAGTCTCCATAAATGTTTTTCAGTCTTACCAAAAATCAGAAAATGTTCGTTGGTCCTCACAATATGATTAGAAGAACAGCGTGGACCCTTTGTAAGAGAGAAATCAGTGACAGGATGGCCTGCATGCACATACACAATTCCATACTGAGGAACTCCCCCACGACAATTTCTCCTAATTTGCAGGTTCCTACCAACATCACAAAAAATATCCGATTGGTGAGCTGTAAAATAAATCGGATGCCCTGTCTGGCAAGATGCACATGACAGATCTGTAGTTAGAAATAAAACTTAAATCATTTGGAGGTCAGACTTGCCTCCCCTCAACAGAGCATATAGAGCAAGGTGTCACTATTCATTTGTGACTAATACCCAACTGGCTCATGAGCTAAGCTTGGTTCCAAGACAAACTGAGCCAAATGAACTAATCTTATATCTATTAACACGTCCTATAACTTTAAATTTACTATATGTAAGGTAGAGTCAACAGCAAAATTGCCTAAAACCTTATTCCAAAGGAGTTCAAATTCTGTAAGAACACACTATTCATTATGGTGAATCAATTTATATAAATTCATAAAAAAAATTTAGGGGCACCTGGGGGGCTCAGTCAGTTAAGCAACTGACTCTTGATCTCAGGGTTGTGGGTTTAAGCTCAGCATGGAGCCTACTAAAAATAATAAAAAAGAAAAAAGAAAAGAAATTTAGCTAATTGTGCTTGTTTCAGAAGTGAGTATCTTTTCTAAAGTAATGAGAGTAGTTGTTTGAGAAACAAAACCCAGAGTCTTACTAGAAACGATCTTCACTCATGGTTGTACAGTGTAGTCTATTGCTATCATACTTATTCTGTAAAGTTCAGTGTGTAGAGAAATTTGATCAGGAACGAGCAGCTGTTAAAAACCGTTCTTCCTCACCTAGAAATACATTTATAAGTGGTGATTTGTTTCTGAAAGATGGTTTTCCTCACATTAAAATGAACGGGAAGCTCATGTATCTAATCTCGCCTGTGTCTATTCTGGGAAAATTCTACTAAAGACAAACACTGTCAGTGAGGACACTTGAGTTCAAGAGACAGAACCAGAACACTGAGACTTTTAAGAGCAGGAAACTTAATTTTAGAAAATGCAAATAAAGTACCAAAATCTGAAAAGAAAACAGTAAAATAAGAGATCCTGTGATTTGGCAAACAATACTGATGGGAGCTGCAAGCTGCGAAAATCTGGGCTCACGTTACACAAGGCACAGCTAATGGAAAGTGTATGTGGGAATTCCATTTGCTTGTGGTTCTGCATTTCAAGGCCCTCTGAGAGATGCCTTATTCAACTGTATTCCTCACATTAGATTTCTAAGGCAGCATGATAGTTAATGAAAAATAGGTCTTTCCCTAAAATCAAAACGTTGCCCTCTGGCCAGAGTTGTGAAACACAGGTTTTACGTACACAAGTAACTCTGATTATTTGCAAATGTTAATTAAAATACATCACACTGAAGAAACTGCCTAGTTTTTATGCTGTGATCTGTTCTCCCAGTGCAAAATTAACCATGCTAGGTGTTTATCCACAATTCGCCACTGCTTGTCACAGGATGGTGAACTCTTCCTGTGAGGGCTGGCTGAGGGGTGTAACTCGGGGTTGCAGCTCTGCAGGTGAGGGACAGACCCAAGGCTCCTTATCAGAGGCAGACCAGTCCCTGGTCCCCTGGTCGTATCTGCTAAATTCACACCCTCCTTTGTGGGTTTTGTCAAGTTACAAAAAGGGAAATCTATCAATTCTCAGTCTCACAGACCCAGTAAAGTACAAAATCTGTAATCCTTGCTACAAAAGACAAAGACAGGAAACTTCATGTGTACCTCACTTTAAATAGAACACAGTCATTAAAATTCACAGAAGTTTTCAGTGTTTCTGCATTTTACAAAAGGCTCCTTTTCAATCCTCGAATGGATTTTAGACTGTTTTATCAAGTAACTTTTCAAGGAATAGGTCGATATGAAAAGATATACCTATTTAAGATAAAGGGAAGTTTACAAGAAACAAGCTCCATGGACATGGGAAACAACTACAAATATGGGAAAATCCATTAACATATAATGGATATTCTTTTCCTTTCTCTTGCTAGGCACCCCAAAGTCCATAAATGCCCAGATGTCCACTGAAATGCTTCTCATTTATTCTTATTTGCCCTCCATATTTATGAGAATTTTGGTTTAAACAGTTTATACCACCCAAATTTTTGAAAAATTCAAACCATTATTTTAAATGGATCCACAGTAAGAATCCCCTAAGTTAATTTTCAGTTCAATTCAACAAATACTTACTGGGTTTTATTCAATACCTTTAACCCTCATCAACCCTTTTTTGGGGGATGCCATCAACTCATGATCATCTTTCAGGTAAATTCAGGTTTTATCTTCGGTTTACTTATAGTGAGGTACTTGGTAGAAAGATGAAATCTGTTTCCTATCCTTCTTTGATATTATAAGTCATCTGCATGTTTATGTAGGCTTTCAATTCATAACCTGTCTGGTACACTGTACTCTACTCTTGAGTCTCTGAGGACCCCAAGAACCATAGCTGTTCTTGGTTAAGAAACTGTCCCTGTGAAAATGGACTCCTAAAGTGCATAAAGATAATCTCAAAACCAACAGTTGTAAAATGGAACATGAATATTCACAGCTGCCTCTTTAACACAACTGTTACCAATTAAGTTGCATTTGGTTTGGAAAGTTTCATGTTTAGCCTCTCCACACCACAGACTGAATGTCCATCCCTATTCCTGTGCTTTAAAAAACACAAACACTAGGTCAAAAACCCTCGACTTTTCTTTTTTCCAGAGTAATGTCTTCTCCCTATCTCTTTGGGCATTTCTGCTGTGGTATTATTGGAAAACCTCAAAATTATATCTTAGGGTTTCTGGAGTCCCTGGAGAATCCCTAACCCATATCATCAAACAGAAAATCTCTCTGGAGGAATGTGGTTAATCCACATGTGAAAGATGGGCATTATACACTGACCCTTAGTCCTCCAGAATTTTACACTGAAAGGGCCCAATCTAACTAACTGGTAAGGAGGCCGGAAGCAAGGTACCAAGCAAACTTTTAGTTCTTGAAAGGACAGAGGACCACTGTTTACATTTTGCAGTCTCCTCCTATTCTTAAGTAAAGATAATTCTATGAACAATAAAAGGGATTTCAGGAAGACTTAAATCTGACATTCCACACTCCATCCTTACTCCTATATTTTGTTTTACATTATCATATTGTAACTTGAGTTTAAGATGAACTTCTGCCCTTCAGAATAGTATTGAAAATATTTCCTAAATAATCCTAATGACAGTGATCACAATATGTAAAGATTTGGTTCTGATTAAGATTACAAATAACCCAAAATGTTAACTTTGAGATGCAAAACCCCATAACATCTGGAAAAAATGGTTTATAAAGTATAACTATAATAATAACATTAAGTTATTTGTGAAATAAAACATTTCTGAAACGTGGGAATACATGCTTATTCCACTCTCTGGATAATGTCTAGTACTCTCTGAAATCTGCTGAGAAATAATTTCTGTAAAAAGAGAGCTGGGTGTCAAATTCCAGAAGCCGGATGTCAAGATTACATAATAAAAAAAAATTCAGTTTTCCAGCACTGGCTCGATAAAAAATGGTCTTTAAAAAGGATTTTTAAATGCAAATACTGAATTCTTGATGCTTCCTTTAAGACATGTACTCTGTCATAATTAATGCAGTGTGGTCTTGGATTGTCTTCTTTGAGGTATCCGTGGAGTCACATCTTACTCTGTGAATAGTGTTTTGGGAACACCTTCATCTGACAATCAGGGTGAAGTCTCATTTTACCATTAAACAGAAACTAGGGCTGTCCGGCTGGAGTGACTGTTCTGACGGACCCTGCTTGATGTTGACACAGCTGGTAGGGAGTCCAGTTCCTCAGGCAGATGTGCGCATTTACTGCCCTCAGCTCTGTGACTGCAGGATGAATAAGGCAGTAGTCCCCAAAACGTATCAAGTTAAGGACTGGAACTCTGACAACGTGCACAAGTTCTGTCCACTTCTTGCCTGTAACTCTGAAGCTGAACAGTACATTTATACATGCCAAATGTGTTCAATAATACATGCTTTGCTTTGGACTGTACTTCCTCCCATTTAGATGAACTTCCAGGAACTGCAATGTCAAGAAAATACCATTACTATTCATTGTACACAGTTACAATGACACAGGGGAATAACAATATACAGTGAACCTATTCTTATTCGTTTGACTTCTCCCCTCTTGAAGGTACTCTGTTAGAGAAGTACGTCAGTTTCCAAAGCCAGGATGGCTTCTCATTATTCCAATCCCTCCAGTCCACTCGCAGGTAGAGAAAGAATACTAGACATCAATTACAAGTCTTTTGCCCGTTTTTTTTTTTTTTTAATAAACCCATATACATATTATTTTGATAAATAAAAAGCATCAATCTGTGAAATGACTTTAGGAAATAAAAACAGGTCTAGCTTTTCTTATGTAGAAAAAGCATGGTAAATATACTTCATGCCTTAATCTGAAGGCAAAAATCAATTTGTAATGTCTCATCTTAGGGGCACCTGGGTGGCTCAGTCAGTTAAGCATCTACCTTCAGCTCAGGCATGAGCCCAGGGTCCTGGGATTGAGCCCTACGTCAGGCTCCCTGCTCAGTGGGGAGTCTGCTTCTCCCTCTGTCCCTCCCTGTTGTGCTCGCTCACTCTCTCTCAGAAAGATCTCATCTTAGAGATCGAAAATTATTGCTCTGCTGTTACTGATCTGCAACTCACCTTTTGAAAAGCCTGACCCCTCCCTTAAAGCAAATCTTTCCAGCAGAAAAGTCTTCCTACTTAATTATAAGCACAGATGTTTAATTCTAAAGATAAAGTCCATCAACCCCAGCATTTACTATCAGCAACATACTTAGCTGTATGTGTACGATGGCAGTAGGTTTTCCTGAAGTAAGAGACCAGATATTTAAATCTTCCACGGAATATACATCTTCTATTTTCATCAAGGCATCTTTGATATAGTCTACGTTCAAATGGCTTGGTACACCTATTAGTTCAGAATATATCATTTATAAGTAAAGTTTATTTTGGGGAAGAAAGCTATACATAACTGATAGAACCTTTTTTCCCCCAAAGAAACCAAATGGTTTTATCAAATTCAGTTTAAATGGACACTTTAAAATATCTTAATACTTTACGATAAACCATGCACACATAAAGCAAGATATGTTTAAGAGATTAATAATTTTTAAAATGTTCACTCTCGCTAAAAGAAATATCAAACCTGAATATGTCATTTAACAAATAAGCTAGGATACACAAAAAAAGAAAGGAAGAAGAAAAGGGGGGGGGGAACATCCAATGATGATGAACCTGCTGTTGAGAACTTACATACTTAGACATAATTATCAGTAGGTAGGGATGTTGAAAATATAACAAAGTATCAAGTTAAATGGGAATTAAGGAATTAATAAACCACTAAACATAATTATAACAAGAATCAAAAGAGTTGTATTTTTGTCCCAGCTCCACAGTTTATTAACAGCATTACCTTAAGTAAGCAAGTTATGTTACCCCTCTGAAGCTCAATTTCCTCGTTGGTAAATGGGGATAATGTTCACCTTACCTACTTTTCTTAGCTATTATAAGGATCAAATGGGTAACAGAGGGGAGAGGACATCAATTCTTATATGTTATATACACATAAAGTCGTGTAACTATAGCCTAATGAGCATCAGTAAAGAGAAAGGAAAGACATGACTCTTACTCTAGGGTGCCCCCCACCCACCAATCTGGTTAAGGGAGTACTGTAATAAACCCACAATGGGGATATTATAGTGAGATCTTACCTTCTAGTATTATAACTATTGTGTCCCGTATGATGCGAAATGTTGTAAAAGCCACAAGTAATGAAAATACATATGTACAGATGGGATCAGCAATCTTGTATTCTGGCTGAAAGGTGACAGAACAAAACTGTGTGATTAAATACAGACCAACATAAAACAGACTGTAAAGCAAAGCAAGCCATATTCTCCTGTTCTTTAGCCTTCTATACCAGGACTGAAGAATACCTTTATTTTTGGATACTGCAATTGAGAAACATCTTCAGTCTTTCCTGGATTGTTAAAAAAAAAAAAAAAATTTTTTTTTTTTTTGCCTTTCCTTGTAAGACCTATTTCCAGAAGTTTAATCGTTTGTTCTATTGTTTTCCCCTGTGCCTTCTCTAAATCTTCCACCCAGAACCATAGAATATCAGAGCTGGAAGGACTTTTAGCAGCCACATATCTGGTCTAAGCCTCTCATATAAAAGAGGAGGGACTTGGGGCGCCTGGGTGGCTCAGTTGGTTAAGCGACTGCCTTCGGCTCAGGTCATGATCCTGGAGTCCCGGGATCGAGTCCCGCATCGGGCTTCCTGCTCAGCGGGGAGCCTGCTTCTCCCTCTGGCCCTCCCCCCTCTCATGTGCTCTCTCTCTCTCTCATTCTCACTCTCTCAAAATAAATAAATAAATCTTTAAAAAAAAAAAAAAAGAGGAGGGACTTGCTCAGAATCAAAGCATTAACAGCACAGCCAAGACTAGAACCCAAATCTCTGGATTTCTAGTCCAGCATACATTCTGGTACCTAGCAGCTCATGCCATGGCTTAAAATTGAGTTCTCTAGTGAAGGCAGTCTGGAAGCCAGCTACAGACAAGCTACTCTGTGAAATGACACTATCATGTTTAGTGCTAGCAAAAGAGCTATACTGATGGCTCAATGAAGCCTACCTAAATGCAAAATGAGTACGGCTGACTTTGATATCCAGTATACTGATAAAAGACAATTACCTTAATATTTTTAATATTGAAATTAAATATATTTTAAAATAGAAAAACCAGCAATCCTATTACCTTGAATCTTATGATGTATGCAGCTATTAGTACACCAACACTCTGTACCAAGTCCCCCACGGCATGTACAAATGCAGCTCTCACTGCCAGGCTGTCCTGCCCGTGGTCGTGTCGACAGCCAGAACCTGTGGTAGGAGAATTTGAAGGCAGGGAGTGGGAATGGGAGTGGTGACCAGACTGGTTCAACAGAAACCCCATTCTGTCAAAAGTAAAAGAAAACATTATTATTCTTCCTAGTATTGTTGATAAAAATATTTGTTACAAATCAGACATTGATGAGGCAACAGGGAATTCATTCATCTAATATATATATGAGCACCTATTATATATCAGGTACTGTTCGAGGTATTGGGGTCAAAACAGTGAATAAGACAGACATATCCCTATCCCCATGGAGCTTATGTTCTAGTAGAGAAGGGAGAGAAGTAAACAAATAAATACATACTATACTGCCAGGCAATGCAAATGGTTTGAAGAGATGTAAAGCACCGCGAGGGGATGGAGAGTGCTGGGGCAGTGTAGTCTGTCAGAGAAGGCCTGAGACTCCTCCTGGGCAGAGACCCGGATCAAGTCAGGAAGCAGCATGTGGTGAAAGGGTGTGCTAGGTAGCAGGAATACCAGGGCAAAGGCCCTTAGATGAAAATGTGCTCTACGTGTTTCAAAAAAGCAGGACAGTTGTTGTGGTGAGACTAAAGTGAACAAAAAGGGACACCTGGGGGGCTCAGTCAGTTAAGCGTCTGCCTTCGGCTCAGGTCATGATCCTAGGGTCCTGGGATGGAGCCCCACATAGGGCTCTTTGCTCATCAGGGAGCCTGCTTCTCCCTCTGCCTGCTGTTCCCCCTGCTTGTGTTCACTCTCTCTCTCTGACAAATAAATAAATAAAATCTTTAAATAAATAAATAAATAAATAGAGCAAGAATGCTAAGTTATGAGTTAGAGAGGCACACAGGATCTTATTAAAAAGGCTATGGTAAGGACTTTGATTTTATTTTAAGTGGGAATAGAAGCCAGTAGGGTAGGGATTGGCAAACCATGGTCTGTAAACCATATGTGGCCGACTGCCTGTTTTTGTAAATAAAGTTTTATTGGGACACAGCTGTGCTCATCTGTTTACATACTAAATGTGGCTGCTTTTGTTCTCTAACCGCAGAGTTGAGCAGTTGTGACAGAAATTGCCAGGCTCTCAAAGCCTACAAGTTATTATCTGGCCCTTTACAGAAAAGTTTTCTGACTGCTGGTCCAAATAAGTATATAACCTAAAAATGTCATAGCTTTCAGGGAAAGTCTGTAGTTTAAAAAAAATCTTGTTAATATATAAGTTAAAAAAAAAAACTTTGTCCCACTTAAATTCCAAATTATTTGTCAAATTTCAGTATAACTGAGCAAACAAATGAGAAATTTATAATTCCATCAGTGTTTTATTAACATAAGAAAAATTAAGATCCCATATAATTTTAAAATACATATAAATAGCACTGCACATTACTGAATGCATGCTATAATAGTCTCTAAGTTCACAGAACTTAGAAATATTAATGTGAAAACAATATAGAGTATATGATACCATAATGGTATACACATGCCATTATAAAATTGTCCAAACCCATAGAATATACAACACCAAGAGAATGAACCCGTATGTAAACTAGGGATGCTGTGTGGTAATGTGTTAATGCTGGTTCATCAGCTGTAACAAACGTACCACTCTGATGGAAGATATTCTTAATGGGGGAAGCTACGCATGTATGAAGGCAGCGGGTATATGGGAAATCTCTGCACCTTCTGCTCAATTTTGCTGTGAACCTACAACTATTCTAAAAAATAAAGCTGTTAAATTTTTTTTTAAATAGAGCTTACATTACATTAACAGCAACTCCAACTGCTGCAGTGATGAGCATTATATCTCCATTTATTTCGTATTTCATATGGATAGTTCTTTGGACAGCTTCATATAGGAGGAATCCCATAAGTATATACACCAACAGCACACTAATCATAGCTGATAAAACCTCTGGAGGGAAAAATATAAACAACAAATATATCTGTAGCATGGCTATTACACTTCATACAAATTAAATATTGTACAATCTTTTATTTATATCTTTCCTCTGAAGAGATGAAAACACTGTATCATTTCTGTCATATTATTTTCCTTATTTAAAAAGTGTTCAGTAGTTTGCTCTGGATTCTCCACCAATGCGTTCTCACCACTCCCCGCTTTCCCCTCATCTCTTTAAGGTCAAACTGTGTATACTTAACAGACCATATACATGGTAAAAATGAAAAACTGAAAAAAATTATTTGTAACATACATGATCACAGACTAATTTCCCAGTAGAAAAGTACACTTACAAATCAATAACAAAGTGAAGAACGCATAATAAAAATGGATAAAGGACACAAATACTAATACACAGAAAATTAACAGAAACAACCAATTTATCAAAATCAATCATAATACAAGAAATTCGAATAAGAATATGATTGTTTTTTATCCCTTACTAAATTGGTAAATATTAAAAAGTCTGATGAGAGCCACAGTTAGCAAGGATATACTGGTGGAAGTATCAAGTGGAACTATCTTTTTGGAGAGCAGTTAGTAAAATGAAGCAAAATTTTAAATACATGTATTCCTTGATTCTAGGAATCTATTCAATAGAACACATGATATACATGCAAAGATATACCTACAAGGTTTTTCACTTTAACTTCACTAGTATTAAAAAAATATCTGGAGAGAGCTTAAATGTCCATCAATGAGGAACTTAATGGATAAAGTATGATATATACATAAAAGAAAAAAATCAGGCAAATTGATAATCACAAGAAAGACAAAGTGTTACATCTGGGAAGTGGGACTAGGAGCTTGGGAAACTTAGTTTTCATTTTATTCTTTTTGGTAATGTTTGAAATGTTTTAAGTTTTACCACAAACACATACTACTTTTAGGCTAAAGAAAAATAATAAGGCATGCAAGTATTCATGAATGCACTTTGACCCAGAAATTCTTCTTCTTGGAATGATATACACATTCATGTTAGCTACACATATGCAAAATGAGGTGTGTTATGAAGTCATTCATCAAGCACTGTATATAATAGCAAACATCTGAAAATAATAAAAAAGTGATTAGTAAGGGCCTTATAACACGGAATACTATGCAGCTGTTAAAAAAAGGATATAGCTTTTTATGTTCTGATAAGGAGTAATCTCCAAGATACAATGTAATGTGAAAAAAGCAAAGTGTGGATGGTATGTTACTATTTGTGAGAAGAAAAAAGAGAATACATAAATAATATCTGTACATGCAATCTTTGAAAGGACATACAAAATACTTATAAAAAACTGGTTATGAAGAAAATGGGTGGCTGGGAGACAGGGACGACTGCACTATATATGCTTTTATATCATATGAACTTTTACCATGTGAGTATACAGTAGAGATAATCTTGTATCTTTTCAAGATAACACAATAGGGCAATGGGAAGTACTTACATTTTTAAATAACTAACATTATAATATAAAACAACTATTGACACTCAAAACAATAAAAGCAAGAAAATACTTTTAAAGAAAACTTTTCCTTTAGAGAAACCAGACACTAGACACTGATCTTGTTAAAGGTAAAACAATCTGGGAAACTGTTATCTGAGTCAAGTCATTGCTCAAAGGTTCCAGGCAGTTCAAATATACTGAACTTTGATACATTTTTATTCTGATGCATAAATTACAACAAAGGAAAGTTATCTAGCAGTTATAAGCTGTTTCCTGAACACATCTCAGTAATGTAGGCTCAACTCCAATAAAATCCTGTGCATTAGCAGAACAAATGTTGGGATAACACAACATACAAAACCATGGTTTTTGTATTCAAAACATAAGACACTATTCAAAACCATGGTACGAAAACAAAACAAAACCATGGTACGCCTACTTCTGACATACTAATCATCACACTTCAAAAAACACATGCGGCTGAAGAAGACCAAGAAAGACACTCTGAAATACACAAAGCTGTGGAGAGACTACCACATCAAGTTTAGACTCTCAGCAGCTTGAGGATAGGACAAGTTCCATTCCACATCACATTTTCTGTGACATTCAGCAGAGTGGTTGTCATGTAGCAAATATTTATGGATGGATTTGCTGAATGAGGTTAGTTAGGTTGAGCAAGGGAAGATGATAAAAGGCTATATAATTAAGGGTAAGCTAAATGTGAATAATAGATTATTTACTAAATCCCCAAAAACAGTAAGTAGATTGGTTAGAAGGGAAGAATTAAGCCAAATACAAGACAGAAAATGCATGGAATTTTCGTCTTAAATTATAACTGCTGATGGTAAAGTACACACATATTAAAAAAAATATTTTTAAACTGTAAATTTCATGTACTAGCGGTGCTTCATTTTACTCACAAAGTAAGAGAACTTTCTCTTTAAAATTGGTATTTAACAGGGGCGCCTGGGTGGCTCGGTCGTTAAGCGTCTGCCTTCGGCTCGGGTCATGATCCCAGGGTCCTGGGATCGAGCCCCACATCGGGCTCCCTGCTCAGCGGGAACCTGCTTCTCCTCCTCCCACTCCCCCCTGCTTGTGTTCCCCCTCTCACTGTATCTCTCTCTGTCAAATAAATAAAATCTTAAAAAATAAATAAATAAAATTCGTATTTAACATATATCAATTCTGGGGTGACTGGCTGACTCAGACAGTAGAGCATGCAACTCTGGATCTGGGGGTTGTGAGTTCGAGCCCTACGTTGGGGGTAGAATTTACTTAAAAAACACCAGTTCTTCTCAAACTCTTTCCCGCCACACACCACGCCCAAAAAGAGAACTTTATCATGTAGTCAAGGTTGAAGCTACCAATTAGGCCATATAGTTTTTAAGATGACTTAATCAAATTGTTAATATAAAATTATAAAGCAATACTCTTTACTTCTAAAAATTCTTAACTATACAAGTTAATGACAAAGTTGTGATTGCTTATGAAAATCTAAAACCAATAATTAAAAATTCTTTCAAAACCCCCTAATTATAATTAGGTTGACAATACAGTTTTCCTGGGATAGTCCTAATTTATGTCTGCTGTCCTGGCATAATTATTAAAAGTGCCCCACTTCACTCAAAAGTGTCCTGGTTTGGATGCTAAATGGTAAGTTATATTAGTAGGTATGCCAGAGAAAATACTGAATGTCTAGTTAAATTTGCATTCAGATAAATAATATTTTAGTATAAGTATATCCCATGCAATATTTCAGACATATTGGGAGTCCTGCAAGAGTGTGTGTGTGCATGCGCAGACCACACACTAAAGCTGGCAACTCCATATCCCAGTGATAATTTTCCTAAACACTTAAAGTGAACTTTTATATAAGGCACAACCAATGAAATAAAATTTATTTTATTTCAAAATAAAGTTAAATGAAAGTCGAACTAAAGCATGAACAGAGATCCTTGGCAGGGAGGATTCCCACACTTAAAAGGCCCACTAGGCTCCTAAAGCCTGAAGATGAACACTCACTTTTCCACACCAGTTTTCACCCATGTGAGTAGCATAAAAGGGATCCCAACGTCTGCCCACAGTTAAGAGTAATGGAATTCAGCTGATTCCTAGAAATTGCTAAACGACATATTAGGATGCTACTATCAATGATATCCCTTTTCCAGCAATTAATGAGGAATGTGTCATGTCTCATTCCCTTGGTGAAAAGCAAAGACATTCAACTTTTATTTTTTATTCTAATCACCTGTCAAAATGTCTTGTAGACAGAATACTGATAAATGGAAAAAAAAAATTTAAGATTTTTAGGGCTGAGATTTATAACCGAGAGGTATAAAACACAGATAATACTATATAGCTAAAAATCCTAGTAGTAGTAATACGATCATTTATTTTGATAAAAGCTCTTTCACTGTGAATAAATTCAACTGGTGAAATGTCATGAATAGGACGAATTAGCATTTACAATTTTTTTCATAGTTTTTTTTTTTTAAGAGAGGGAGGGATAAAGGGGGCGGTTCGGGGAGGGACAGAGGGAGAGAGAGAGAATCTTAAGCAGGACCCACACCCAGTGCAGAGCCTGATGCAGGGCTCGATCTCACAGCCCTGAGATCATGACCTGAGCTGAAATCAAGAGTCGGACGCTTAACCAACTGAGCACCCAGGCGCCCCTTTCATAGTATATTTTAACAGGATGGAATGTAGATAAACATAGGCAAGATTTCTTCCTCCCAACATTTAAGAGAGAGGGAAGCTTTCCATCAACAACCAAATTATGACTTCTCCAGTCTTCTCATTCTTGCTCCGGGTTAGTCTCCGGTCACAATAGTTTTTCAACACAAAGGCGTACATGACATATAGATTTTTCATTTTTGAAAGGAGACGACCCAGAACTTTCACAATTGAAACCCCAGATTTCCATGGAAGTTACTACCCTGGGAACTTTAGGTAAACTTGACTATAAATGGAAATTTATCATAAATGAAAAACTCTTGAAAGAGATTTTTATGGAAATTCTAGAAAATCTATTATAATAGTTCCAACACATTTTGCTACTTTACGCACAAATAATTAAATCTTTAAATTCATCTGACTGAACTATCACACTGGAGGAGGGAATAAGATGAGCGAATATGTGTTTTTTATTATAACATCACTTAGGTCTTTTCGTTCAGCTGAAATATAAACAAATGTTTATGGTCAATGATCTATTAAGACCAAAATATACCCTGAATTTCACATACAGAGAATAAGCAGTTTTGGTTTGAATGGCTAATAAATGGTAAGAAAAAAAAATCAAATGGGAGAAAACACAGATGACTGTCAAGTTTCGATAGTAATATAAAATGTGAAAAATGTTTACTGCATATTTTAACACATCTATAATTTTCCAAAACTAGAAGTTTTCAAGGTTTATATGAAAAACACCGAGTCCTTCTCTGTCCTCCTGTTAATCTTCATTACAGTACCTTCTTTTGTTTCCTAGCATTTACTATAACTTATAACTGTTGTGTA